AGATATGAGAAAGATGGTAGGTAAGTAGATAGATGGATGATAGGTGGATAAAGGTAGATGGATAATAAGTAGGTAGATAGATGGATGAGAGAAAGATGAGAGATAAGTAGGTAGGCAGGTAAATGAGAGAGATGAGAGAGAGATGATAGACAGACAGACATGATAGTTTAATAGGTAGATAGAGCAGGCATAGATGGCTAGATGAAAGACAGGTAAATGATGGACAGACTGATAGATGATTGACAAGACAGGCATACAGACAGATATGCCGGATGGAGGAATGGATATGCAGAGCTGATTGTGCCCTCCTCCTTTCTGTTTTTCCTTCAGCCTTCCTGTCCTGGTTTCGGAATGGGCTGCTGGCCACGGGCATCGGCGTGATTTCCTACATGCAGAGCGACATGGGGCGGGAAGCGGCCTACGGTGAGCAACCTGGGTGCCCCGGGAGTGGCCTGGCTGGGAGCACCCCATCCCCAGGATAACCGGAACGGGGCCAGAGGCCCGTCCACCTTTTCCTCCTAGCCTCGCTAAGGGCGTGTCTCTTGTCTTCTCTGCCCGTGTTTCCTCCCTCAGGCTTCTTCATCCTCGGCGGGATCTGCGTCTCGTACGGCAGCGCCTCCTACTTCGTCAGCCTCCTCCTCCTCCGTCGCACCATGATGCTCTCCTTCTCGGCCGCCCTCTTGAACTCGGCCGCCGTGGTGAGCGTGGCTCTCTTCTGGCTCTGCGCCATCTCCCTCTACATCGGCCGGCTGGAGGTGGAGATCATCCAGGAGGACGTCGGCGAGAAGAGGAAGGAGAACGGCAAGGGCGAAAAGTGAAGGGCTGGAGCGGCTCTTCGGGACTCGACGAGACAACCGTACGGACAATTCGGAAGGGACAGCTCCACGGTGGTTGGGTCAGAGGGGACCGCGGAAGAAGGAAGGGAAGTTGGCTAGTTCTCCTGAACGCGGGAGACAAGTGGAAGGAAGAATGGGCTTTCAACTTATTTCAGATTTATCGGCTGGGAGGGCAAGGAAGGAAGGGAGGGGCTCTGAAACCTTCCTTGGAGCAAATGCTCGCTACTTAAGGATCTTTGACGCTTTTCATGAGTGGGCCTGCTTTGCAAAACCCTTTCTGCTTTGACTCTGCTTTCTGGTTTCAGGGGCGTGTGTGTGTGTGTGTGTGTGTGTGTATAAAAGCCCATTTTCTGGATGTCTTCTGCATAGCTTGCCTTGGCTTGGCCACTCTCGCTTATGCTCCAGACTCTTTCTCCGTTTCGTTTCTGTCGTTGGGCCGGCTGGTGCTCTGATTAGTGGACATTTAGATTAAAGACACTCAAAGCAAGTTGTGTATTTTCTAGGTTTTTTTTATGTGTGGGTGGGTGGGAGAAGGGAGCAGGGGGGGGCTGTTTTGAAGGTGCCTTTGGGAAATAATAATCGCCATTATTCCCACCTGCAAGGGAGATCTTCAGGTGGGCAGCGGGAGCCTTGTGGTTCACTGGCAACAGGTGTAGACGGCTGAGGCCTCGGAGAGGGAGGACTCAAATGAGGGGCCTGCGTGTGATGCAGGGATGGGGCCAGGATCATCAGAGAGTGGAGTGCTGCCTTCGGAGATGGTGGAGGCTGGCAGCAGTGATGAAGAGGTTCCCGAGGAGCCTGTGCCCAATGCACATGCGCACAGTGCTGCTCGAAGGAAAGAGCAGCTGCAGCAGCACGGACCACTTGAGAGTAAGGCTGCAAGGTGATGGCCCCTCCCTTAAGGGATAAAAGCCAGCCCTCGGAGGTGGGATTCTTTGCAGGAAGCAAAGAAGTTCCCAGCCCTTGTGGAAGTTTGACTATCCTGGTCTGTGTTGGTGACTTTTGGTTTTGATCATTTCCTTGCAATTTAGTGTTCTTGGCAGCCTTTTGCTCTTATCTGGGACAATTAGTTTTAATCGCATTTTTACTGTGAATGAATGGAATCCACAGGGAAGCATTAAAAAAGGTTTTGCTTTTATCTCTGTTTGGTGTTTGTTTGCTTGGAAGGAGGCTTGGGTCACAACTCTTTGAAGTGCAGGTAGTCCTTGATTTACAACAGTTCATTCAGTGGCCGTTTGAAGTACAACGGCACTGGAAAAAGTCTCTCAGGACAGTCTTTTCACACTTACAACTGTTGCAGCTTATCTTAGGAAAGGGGGCAAAAATCACTGAAATATCTTACTTAGCCACAGAAATGTTGGGCTCCGTAGTGGCCGTTAAGTCAACGACTCCCTGTGGCAGAGCCACAAATCTTGCTGGCATCGTCTCTGGAGGGGGAGAACCGTTAGCGCAGTTAGAGCTGGCTCTCTGCCTCCCCGTTCACGGTGATCCCTTTAAATTTCACCCATTTTTGGATGGCAGGAAGCTCACTTGAGAAATGCGTGTGATCCAAATCCGTTGTCGGTTTTTCCATAAAACGAGGCTCGTTTGGGTTCAATCCTCAGGATATGGCCCTTTTAAGGGCTTTCTGATAGCTGGGGAGGACGTCTACGGAGATTCTCAGTCATTCCAGGTCGTGGTTGTCCCAAAAGTGCTTTTTTTTTTTCCTAAGAGGCAACTGGACTTTCTGGTTTTTCTTTGAAGATGTCTCCCTTCTTCATCCAAGAAGCTTCTTCAGCTCTGATTGGATGGTAAGGAATGGAAGGATTGATACTCCTTGCAGACAGCTGGTCATTTGCATCCTTTGAGAGGGTCGTTGAGGCCACTTGGAGGTCTATCTGTGTCCTCGGGGTCACCTGAACGGTGCAAATGGGTGTCACTACAACACAGCTCCTTTCAGCAGTCCCAAGAAGGCTCCAGACCCATTTGCACCACTCAGGTGACCCCAAGGACACAGATAAACCTCCAAGTGGCCTCAACGACTGTCTCTAAAAGGATGCAAATGACCGACTGTCTGCAAGGAAGACAAACCCTTCCATTCCCTGCCATCCAGTCAGAGCTGAAGAAGCTTCTTCAGATGAGAAGTGAAACGTCTTCCAAGAAAAACCAAGAAAGTCCAGTTGCCTCTTGGAAAATTACTTTTGGGGCTGGGGGGGTGGGGAGGGGCTTGGTTGATCACTAAGGGTCAGGAGGATTACTTTGGTTAATTAATCCAGAAGAGGAATCTGTTGAGGACAAAATCCAGACAAGACACACGACAAAAGAAGCTTTCCCAGTCTGCTGAAATGATTTTAGAAGGCAGGAAAGAATTCTTGTTTATTTTTTTTAATGTTCTCTCAAGTCCCGGATTGGCAAAAGAAACTGCAAAATGTCGACAAGAAATTATAGCTACCCGAAGCGAACAGTGGATTAATAAAAGAAAGAAAGAAAAAGAAAACCACAGACACGTACAGTTCTTTAGCAACGAGTTATAGAGGGAGGGGGGGGAAATTCACATTATCCAAGTGCTACAATCGTCGGTGGGCGCCGTCCGTTTCCCACTGACACGAACAGGTAAGTCCTTGACCGACGGCCACACATCAGCCTGAAATCTCTGCTGCTGAGTGAGGTGTTGAGAGAGCTTTGCCCCATTTTTACGACCTTCCTTTGCCACCGTCGTTAAGGGAATCCCTGCAGCGGTTAAGTTAGTAGCATGCTTGTTCAGCGAATCGGGCTTTGCTTGCCAGAAGGTTGCAAAACAGGATCGCGTGACGCCCCCGGGACTCTACGACCGTCATAAATACGAGCCAGTTGCCAAGGGTCTGAATTTGGCTCACACGTGACCACGGGGGAGGCTGCAACGGTCGTTAAGTGTGAAAAACGGTCGTTCGTCACTTTTTTTCACTTTGAAAGTCACTAAGGTGGTACGTGGAGGACTGCCCATGCAATTTATTTTGTATAAGTGCTTAAAATTACAGCATTTTCTTTCTTTAACTGCTCCAGTGCCATCTTCACCCGCGTTGCCCTGACTTGCCTCTTTTTCTAAGCCAGCTTGAACCCGAGCCCAGCCCTTCTCATCTGCTGCTGGGTCTTTAACAGAGGATTTGGGGAAAGGATTGAAGAGGGCTTTTTGCATAAAAAGAGGGACAAAAGTACCTTTATTGGGGGTGGGGGGCAGATCCAAAAGGCAACCTAGAATTAGATAAGTGCCAACAAAAGGCCTCAAGGTGTATCTTAATAAAGAGGCGGCATTTTGCATCCGTTTAGTTGCTGGAGAGCTAGAACAACAAACTGTTATGAAACGGAGCAAGGGTTAATTTGATATCACTGGAAAACCACCTCCACATCCAGGTAATGCATTGGGTGATGCGTGTATGACAGGCAATGTTAAGACCTGTGGACTCCAATTCCCAGAATTCCCCAGCCAGCCTTTCCACAAGTCTTAAAGGTGGCTGGCTGGGGGATTCTGGGAGTTGGAGTCTACAGGTCTTAACGTTGTCCAGGTTGGACATCTCTGGTGTAGGAGACAGATAGGCAGAGCCTAGGGGTGCAGTCAAGAGAGGAATCTCCTACCCCAAAGATCAAGGTCAGCATTATCTGCAAAATCCAAGTTGGAAAAAGTTTGCCCGTTCGCACAGCAAGACCATGAGGCCACGTTCCTAGAAGGATCAATTCGCACAACTTTCTCTCACGTTGCCTTGATTGATCCTCGCGGCGTCCTAATATGGATTCGTCCCTATTGCATATTTCAAGGATTAATTCAATGGGCGCAAAACAAGTGAACTGCTGGTGTGACAGGCTGGAATAAGCACATTGAGGCGTGGCATCGCAGGCAACGGCGGCCAACTTTTCATATGGCACATAAATGCAGGTTATATTTGACCACCGACACCCCACCCCCCTTTCCCCAAGTTTTTTAAAACTAGTCAAGTTCTAGCAGCAGGAACACAGGTAGGAAGTGCGTGGGAGATGCCCCTCAATACGTCCGTGGGCCTTTTTTCCTGGAAGTTTGGATAGATTTCCCACGTGTCTCCAAGCAAAACCCTCCACCAATCACCCCATTTCAATCAACCACAGATGGCGATAGGCCATCCACTCTCCTTCGCGCCGAGGACTAGGAAAGGGATGCGATGAGCAGGTACGTAGGTAGGTAGTAACTTCTTCCGGGACTAAATATTTCTTCCCCCGGGGCTTCGAGAAGGTTTGGGAGCACCCCAGCACCGAACTGAGCCATCTCAAGATCTGATCGTTCTCTTCCAGGCCAGATTCAACCGTGGTTCGCTGGGCCAAGACGACACCGGTTTGATCATGGACCACCGATGGGCGCTAATCCTCCTTGCGTTCCAGAGCTGACCCACTGTGGATCCCCCCACTGGCCACAGAGAAGGGCAGGGTGGAAAACAAAGAGTCCGTGGCCGCAAAGGCTCCCCCAGAAATCTGGGCCAAGCTAGCGGAGTTCCCAAACGGGCCCACCATGTTCAGCCGCTGCAGGTGGTGGTACATGATCTCCCGGGAGGTCTTGGCCTCGGCGCTGCTGATGTCCATGAGACTGAGGGGGTGGGCGTGGGAAGGCGGCAGCATGTTGCTCGGCATGGCCAGGGTCATGTCCGCGGGGGCGTAGCGAATGGTACTCGTGGTGTAGAGTCCCGGGGAGCCCGCCGGAGAGGTGGGGTGTGGATTGCCGAGCTGATGCATCAACGGGACGACGACGTTGCTGGTGTGGAATCTCTGGAGAACGTCCATCTCCGTCGGGTAGAGCAGCGGGGTGAAGGGCGTGGCGGTGCCCCGGTCCTCGCAGGGGGAGCCCGAGAGCGGAGGCGAGAGCGTGTCCCCCGAGGAGGACGGAGGCGCCCGGGGAGAGGCGCTGAAGGGCCCCCCCTTGGCCGGACCGTTGTCCACCTCGGGCGGGGTGAGCACTGAGTCAGGGATGGAGACGTATAAATGCGAGGGCGCCGGTCTCACCAGGGGCTTCTCCAGCCGAAGGGCTTTGTTCACGGGGAAAGAGCTGGCCTTCGCCCTGGGACAGGTCCAGAGCCTGGCTTTGGCCTGGAGCCCCTGCTCCGATTTGATGCTGAGGGCCGGGCCGGCTCTGAGGGAGGCGCCCTTTTGGATCTGGATGACAGAGGTGAACTCCGACGTGCAGGGACTGCTGGGGACTATGGTCCTCTGCCCACCGGTCTTGCAACCGTTCACCTTCCTGGGCAGGAGCCCCGTCGGCTGGGGGAGCATCTCCGGCTCCGAAGCGCTGCTGCTGCTGTCGGAGTCCTCGGAGCTGCCCAGCGAGGTCTCCTCCTTCCCCTTGGATTGGGGGCTCTCCGGAGGGAACTCCAGTTTGATCCTCTTCCTGGGAGGGGTCTCTGCGTCGCTGCCGGCCCCCTCCTCTGAGGCCTCCTCCTCGGGGTATTTGGCTTCAGGGCCACCGGGCTTGCTGTCCACCAGGTGGCAGTGCCGCCCCATTTCGGCCACGCTCCTGGGGTAGGACTGGGCCAGGGTCCCCGGGGGTTTGCTAGCTGGGCACGGCTTCTCTGTCAAGGGGAAAACAGGGAAGGGTCAACCAGGCAGGGGATTGTGTTCTGACCCAGCTTCCCAAACACGACCAACCCTCTGAAGTGAACTCGAAGATTCCTTTATTAGGAGCGCCAGCAGCAGCCCTGGCGAAAAGGTTTCTCTCTCACTGCAGGGTAACAAGTAGTTGTCTGCCACACCTGTTCACCTCTGCCCCCTGCCTTTTATCCCCAGAGTGAGGGTGGGGCTTTGCTAACAGCAGTGGCTCTTCCATCCTGAGGACCAGCCCATAGATTTCCACTGCTCTCCTCCCCTCTGCCTTCTGCAATCCATGTATCAGGCACTGGACGCAGCTGTTCCTCCTCTTCCTCATCAGCCACCTCCAGACCTGGGGGCTGTTGACTCCATCTGAGGGCTGACGGACAGCCCAGGCTCCGCCTCTCTCTCTGACAGCTCCCTTCCCTCTTCCCCCT